CATGTGGTTGTATAAGGTGTTGACCTTAAATAATCAAAGTAAGGTAGCACCACAAGATCTTGCTAAAGATGCAGTTCCAGTACACGAAACCTTAAACTTACTATTATATATATATATATATATATATATGATAAAGTTAACTTTTAATTATAGAGATAGGGGAGTACAAAGTTTAGAGGAGAAATGCTTTCCACCGGCAGAAAGCTTACAAAATAGAACCCTTGTGAAAAAGGGGTGGTGAGAGAGAGTAGAATCCAAAAGCATCTTTTTAAAAGGTTACAAGGACAGTAACAAAGCAACCAGCAAAAAGATGCCGATCCCAAAAAATTAGGCACCATCTAATGCTGCTCCATCTTTATCAAGAGTGTCCGCTGCTTGGTTTCCTTCCCTCTAGATATGCCTCCTTGAGGCATGCATATCCCTGCAAATATATTGAATCTCATAAAAAATATGAGCAAGGGTCCATGGTGGACGAGAAGATTTTGATGCCCAAGCAATAACATTCTTGGAGTCTCCTTCAATGATGAGGGACTCCGAGTGGAAAGGGAGAGTAAGTTTGTGGCCTTCAAGAAGTGCAGTTGCCTCGGCTTCCATTGTCTCAGAATGACCAATAAATTTGGATTGGGATGCTAAGGTTGTGCCTGCACAGTACCTGAGGATAGACCCAATGCCAGCAGGCCCAAGATTTCCTAGCGAGCAACCATCGAAATGAAGTTTGAGATGTCGTGGCTCAGGAGGTCTCTAACAAGAACTTTGAGAAATACCTTAGCTGTTAGAAAAACTGTGGGGGTAAAGTCCTTTGAATACCTTGTGATTGGTAACCCAAAACACAATAGAGGATTTGAGCTTAGTAAAAATGTTTGACCATGGGGAGGATTCTCCCCTAAAGATTCTATTGTTTCGCTCAATCCAAATAGCCTATGTAGTAGCTCCCACCACTGTTTTCCACAGTAGAATCCCTGGTTTAGGCCAGGGGTAAGGTTGAATTGATGAGAAGATTAGGGGTACCGTGGCCGGAAGAACCCACTTCACATGGAAGAGTCCTAGCAATTTACCCCAAATAGCAAAAGCATACGGACAGTGCAGGAATAGGTGGTCATTGGTTTCCTCTTCTTCCATGCAAAGAGCACAACAATTCGGCAATGGGATGCCTCGTCTTTGCAGCATATCCACTGTAAAAACCCTTTGCCAAAGAGCAATCCACATGAAAACCTTTATCTTGAGAGGTGTGAAAGATGCCCATGCCACGGCCACTATAGACGGGGGTGAGTGAGGAAAAGTTGGTGGTGAGGTATGTTTTTTTGTAGAAAGAGGAGGCTGAAAAGGCTCCTGAGGCACTGGGTATCCAAACGAACTAGTCTTCTCCAATTGAGGCAATGAAACATAGGTGGACGGCCTTAGAAAGGTCCATAAATAGTGGGATCGCGAGATCATTGAGAGGCTGTCTAAAAGTAGGATTCCAGCAACGAGACTAACCCAAAAGGGTCATCTCTTCAGCCAAAGTGGCATCTGTGTAGCAGGCTAGCAAAAAGAGGGTAGGAAATCGATCCCTCTGGGGTTCTTGACCTGGCTAGATGTCATGCTAGAAGCAAACTCGATCACCCCTCCTAGGGTGTAAGTGAATGCAATTTTAAAGAACTGGCAGGACGAGCAAAGAGACCTCTAGAAGCCTTACACCCTGTGGTTGTTTCTAACCTAAGGGACCCATGGCGAAGAGGGGATTCGATATTTGTGCCTAATAATATCAATCCAAAGTTGATCCCTTTGAGTGGCTAACCGCCACCACCACTTTCCAAGCAAAGCCAGATTCTGTTTTTTCAACAATTTGGTACCTAGGCCCCCCTGCCTTTTGGTTGACATAATTTGTCCCAAGAGAGCATATGAAATTTGTGGCTATTCCCTACTCCTAACCAGACGAACCTACAGATAAGCTGTTTGATCCGAGCTGTGAGTGCCGTCGGCATGTGAAAAATTGACATTTGGTAGACGGGAATATTGGCCAAAGTGGCTTTGATAAGGTCAACCTTCCTACCGGAGAGAGGAAGCAGCCTTTACACCCTGCCAATTTCCGGTCTACCTTGTCTATGATGTGTGACCAGAGCTTTGTTTCGGTTTACCGATGCAAAGGTGTAACCATAGATAAGTTGAAGGTAGCTCTTCAGCCTCACACCCCCAGCTATCTGCAAAGCCTTTGAGAGTTGGCAGGTCTATAGCTACCCCCATCATTTTTAATTTCTTGAAATTGACTATGAACCCCGTGACGAATTCAAACCATATGAGAAACAGGAAGAGGTTGTCTAATTCCTCCAGGTTGGCTTCGCAAAGAACCAGGGTGTTGTCCACATATTGAAGGTGCGAAACGACGTGTCCCTGGTTTTCGAAAGAAAAGCCATGCAGCATATCGGTCGCGTACAAAAGGGATATAGATTAACTGGAGACCCGCCGAGATTGCAAAGAGAAAAAGAGAGCGCGGATCTCCTTGTCTTAGACCCCTAGAGGAGGGGAAGAAACCTTTGGGAGATCCATTTTACAAGGATAGAAAAGTAAGGATTTGAGTAGCAAGCTCTCATCCAAGGTCTCCACCTGCTCCCAAAACCCTTCTTAATTTGGGTTTCTTCTAGGATGCCTTTTCACAGTCAAATTTGACAATAAGGCCTGGGATTTTGGTCATATGCCTAGAGTGCACACATTCGTTGGCAACTAGGGCCCCATCCAAGATCTGTCTATCTTTGACAAATGCACCCTGAGAGGGTGAAATGACTAAATGAAGAACCTCTTTAAGGCGAGAGGCTAGAACCTTAGAAATGATTTTGTAGATGGAGTTTACCCAACTAATCGGCTTGAAGTCTTTGAGGTGTTCGGCCCCCTCAATCTTAGGGACAAGAGTAATGAAAGTAGCGCTCATGGCTCTGTGAATTATACCCCTTGAGTGAAATTCTGTGAACAGAGCCAAGAAGTCACTACGAAAAGATTCCCAAAAGATATTGAATGAGGCAACAGGATAACCATCATGGCCAGGGGCCCACTCTAGAGCAAGGTTCGATATGACTGCAAGGATCTTCTCTTCAAGGAATGGCCTTTCCAACTACAGGGCTTTATCAGGAGGCAAGGAATGGAAGGATAAATCCCCCATAGTGGGCCTGAGCCCTTGAGGCGCGGTGGATAGGTTTTTGAAGTAGGATAGAATGGCCTCGTCTATCTCCCTAGCTTGATCCAGCAGAGTGTCCCCATCCATAAGATGGGAAATAGTGCTATCTCTACGTCTGCAATTCGTTGTCTTGTGGAAGAAGCCGGTGTTCAGATTGCCTCGACTTGAGCCACTTGATCCTAGATCTCTGGAACCAAAATATCTCCTCTTTTTTTAGAATGTTCTGGTAGTGCAGTTTGAGCTGGATCCTACTTTGGTGCTCTGAATTTGATAGAGGCCTGGATTCTTCAATCAAGTCTAAAGCTTGAATAGCCAGGAGAGTAGCCTTTTTTTGGGATCCAAAGGATCCCGGAAGACTACTACTCCAAGCTTTGAGAGTGGATTTGAGTAGCTGGAGTTTCTTTGAAATTTGAACCCCGCCCACCCTAGAGTCGAGTTCCCTAGGGATTGCCACCAAATAGGGAACATGGAGGAGAAGGAGTTCTCTTCAAACTAGGACAACTCAAATCTTAAAGGTTTGACGCCTCTCATGATCGGGTGGGTATCTAGCTGTACAGGCAGTGGTCAGAAGTGGGTTTAGGTAAGGCAGTGACGTGGGATCTAGCAAACGTAGCATCCCAATCTAGGGAGACAAGAAAATGGTCCAGTTTAGAGAGAGAAGAGTTGGAAGAATGGTTTGACCAAGTGAATTGTGTACGCTGAATGGGGAGATCCAAAAGGTTATTGTGAGATACGAAGTCAGAAAAACTTCACATGGCCGGGGTGATTGTAGATGAGGTGTTTCTTTGAAAGGATCATCTGGTCACATTGAAATCCCCACCTAGAAACCAAATGGGGAAGGGTAAGGCGACAATTAAGTTTAGCTCGTACTAGGAAGAATGTCTCAAAGAATCCGAATTGGCACCATAGATGGTAGTGAATTTTCATTGTAGGCTGTCAGAAATTCTGGACAGGGGAGGGAGACCGAAAAGTGGCAATGTGAGCTTGGGAGATGATATGGGCAGTTGGGTCCGAAATCACCCAACTGCCCCCGAGACCCCTAGGGCAGGAAGAGCTTCACATTGGCAAGGGTGATGGCCCCAAACCTGTCTATCCTGTTGGAGAGTAGGGGCAGGCATTTTAGTTTCAGTGAGGGCAAGGATAGAAGGGTTGTATTTGTGGCAGAAATCCCTAACAGCCTTTTTTTTGGTTGGGAGGCCTAACCCACGGATATTCCAAGAAAAAACAATCATTAAAAAGAGCGGAGAAGAGCAGAGATCCTCGGGGATCGCCTAACCAGAGTGCCTTGAGAAATAGGATCAGGGGAGGAAGGTAGAAGAGAGAGATTTGGGACTCTGTCGTAGTTAATGGTACAATAGCCTAAAAATAGATTTTCACCTCTAGTTGTAAAATTTAAAGTTTAAAAAATGTTGTAGATCTAGCAAATGTTCATATGCATCTCCTTCAAATGATCCATCTTAGGAATGGATTTGGGTTATAAAATTTCATGGGGAATAATCTCAACCACCCTGGTATGAATCTGAAAAAAAAAAGGGGGGGGGGGGGTTGGAATTAAAACTTAAAAATAGATTTTTCTTTAATTAAAATGAAGGATCGAAAAAAAAAAGTTTTCATTCATGATTATGGTGGTCGAGGTTATCATGTGTGTATGCATTTGTGTGCATCTGCTTGTGCTTGTGTGTCCATGTGCGTGTGCCAATACGTGTGCATGCGCATGTGGGTGTGTGTGGGTAAGAGAGATTTATATGTATATATATATAGGATGTAGATATCTTTATCTATTGGTTGCTTTTCTTGGTAGTTTCTAGAGGTGTACTGTAGAGGTAGTGGTAAGATCAGGCGTTTCGCTGCTGGTACAGAAGCTGGATTTGCCTTAAATGTGATTAATGCAAAGCTGGACCTTGGTGCTACACCAGCTTTACTTATTGAGGCTGCTAAAGAGGGTGAAGAACCAGTTAACTTTGGACCTAATTCTGTCCTTGTTTTTTATGGTGAAGGCTGGAGACTACAAACAGTTCTAGGAGATGGTAATCCTTTACTACTTATTGAATTGAATCATTTTTATCTTTGCTATGCTTAGATTTGAAGTGTGGAACTAATCTCCATAGTTGTGTGTATTGCTTGAAACAGATTGTGAAATAAGGAAGGTAGACTCAACTGTGACGCAACTTCCCTTTGAAGTGGTACGTATTCCTTCCTTGATATTCAATTTCTTATGGGAAGTTTATTTTTTAACAGCATGAATTGGCTTGGTTTGTGTTGAAATCTTGTGTTCCTTTGTTATCAATTGTATTATTTTCTATGTTTTAGTAATTGATAGGATTTTGTTTTGGATGTTTCTTCTGAGAATTCCTCGTTTCTCTCTTTTTCCTTCCATAAATGATTGTTCCTATTTTCCCACGTTTGTTCATCCTTTACATCTTTAAGTTTGATGTAAATCCCGAAATAATTTATCTGAAGGCACTTCTCTAAACTACGGTTACTGAGGAACCCTATTAGTTACACCTATTTAGGCTAATTACGTATCACAGGACTTGTTGCGTGGATTGTTTTGAGTGGAATAGAGTGTAGAGGAGTGGCTTGGTTCGCAAGATTTGGAAAGGATTCTGTGAGGCAGAGATTTGTTAGTTAGCTTGAATGTTTGGTGGGTACCATCTCTCCTTGTAGATTGGTTTGATTCTATTGAGCTCTTGAAAGATGATAACGTTTAAATGTTTTGCAAATTTTCGTTTAGCATGTGTTGCAGTTGAAGAGAGAATCCTAGATGAGCAAGCATCTCCCAAGGTCTTCAGTTCCCAAATTTTCTCATATTATCTGAATAGGAAGAGGAGAATTTGTGCCCTTCACTATGGTTTTCCTTTTAAGCGGGGCTGGAATCTAGTCCGTCATGGACTCAAATCCACAAGCTCCAGAGCTTGGACCTAGAAACGTAACCCCCAACACACACACACACACAGTGTTAGGTCAGGCCATACTTGAATCCAGACCCACCCTGGATGGGTCTGGGCCAAGTTGCATAGGGACCACGGTTGGGTTTGGGTCTGTTATCACCCGCAATCCAAAGTGGATTTTCTTGTTAGAATTGCTTGGGTAACATGCAAAATATCTATAGTGCTCCGTTAATTTGTGGTCTGGCCCCTTCTTTTCATATGTGGTCGTTTTTCATTGGAGACTATCAGTTTTTTATTCTATGGGTCTTGTGGTGGTGGGACACTATGGAGTGCACTAAGATGAATATTATCTTTGTGGGTTCTCCAGTGAAGGATAAGAGTAAAGGTCTAACGAGGAAATGAAGGAGAATTTACTCATTTAGGTGCCCAAAGTAGGGTAAAAGAACCTTCTTCCAAAAACACTAAGATTGGAAGGCTTTTAATATTGTTCCCTGTGTTTTGTTCAATGGGAAACTTCAAGAGATGCCCGTTTTAGCTGCACAGTCATTTAGGCATTTATCAAAGGCCAAGGAAAGGAGTCTTTCTTTCCTAGAAATCTTGTAAGTAGTTAAGCTCATGTTTCTTTCACAGAAACGAAATTATATCTTAAATATTTCTTTTGGCCTTTTTTTGTCATCACAATATGGAAAATCTTTCTAACATACTTTCTTTGTTGTATGTTGCAGAAACCAGCTCTTTTACATAGTGGAGAGAAATCAAGCAGTAGCTTGCGGTCAGATGACTCCGTTCTTTACCTTGGGAAGATAATACTTGCTTTCTGTTTCATGTTTGCCCTAGGTGGAATTTTTACATTGTTTCTTGAAAATCTTCCCGGATTATTATTGTATATAAATTCGTCAGTGTAAACATACTTAAATTGCATTTATTATATTCTTAACGAAATCAATGAAAAATCTATTATACTGTCTTTGAACTGGACTTATGACATTGAAAATCCTATTACCTCAAAAAAGACAGGGTTTTTCTGTTTCGTGCTTGTCTTATTTTAAAAGCGTGCACTAGAAATAGAAAGGAGAGAATGATTGAATTCACAGTTGAGATAAAATTAAATAAATCAAAATTGACCAGTTGAGTGCTCCTTTTAAGAGTGTCAAAGAAGTTCTCTCTCTCGATCTAAATCAAACTTGATTCCTTCAAATTGTATCTGTTACACCGAAAACTTCTAATTCTCTCAAAAATAAAAAAGAAATAGAAAAAAAGTATGGTTTGTATAGAGCCTAGACTCAAAATCAAATTAAAGCCTACCTTCAAATAGCGTCGTAGAGAAATGTGGTTTCAACATTGGAAATCTTTGTTATAGCCTTAAAATATATTTTTATTTTTATTTATAAAGTTCAAAGTTCAAAAAATATCGTAGATCGAAAGATCTATGAAAAATTAAAAATCTTAAAAATTGACCGTCCAAAACTGCATTATAAATATACTATTTTCAAAATTTGAAATCTATTTTTTTCTCATATCCATGCATCTTGATGTCCGTGTTGGGATGATCAATTTGATTGTATTTGTGCATCAAAACAATCTCCTCTAGTGAAAATTTTGAGGTTTGCTCTAATTTGATTGTTTAGAGCCCCAGCTCTATATAAACTTTGCCCCCCAAAAAAAAAAAACACACAGCAACACACGAACCAGAAACTACTAATAGTTTATTCCATCTGGGGACATACTTTCATATGCTACCCCCATCATTCCAACAAACTATTTACATAAATCAGAGCCTTCCACTGTATATGCACATTAAGGACTGAGCTTCCCTACCCTATCCATTATCATAATACAACGTCACCATCAACTAGAAGAACAAGAAAAAGACCATCAAATGGATGGATGCAAATAAGTACATTTCAAAGTCATCCAACAAATAAATTTTCTAAGGCGGCCAGTTCTTCTTCACTTGTGTGTTGAATTTGAGCCTAGTTTTCCTACGACAAATGTTCAGAAGAGCTTCGGTAAATCTCATCGGCCTGGGAGGTGGGTACATAAACCGCATCAGACAAGGAGCTATGTCTCATGCCATAGAATAAGTAGATGAATACTCCAATTATCAACCATAGTGATACACGAACCCATGTGCCCAAGCTGCAAAAAGGCATAAAACTCAGTTCTTGTGACCATACTGAACAAGATATATACACCACAAATGAATGCGTCTGTGTTTTGCAATGCACTAATACATTCATATTGAATAAAAATTGGGCGCGGTTTCTATAGAACCAAAGCTCTAAACAATCAAATTAGAGCCTACCCTCAAATAGTGTCGACAAATAATGTTTCAATATTAGAAATATTTATGCTAGTCTTAAAATATATTATCATTTTTATTTATAAAATTAAAAGCTTCAAAAATAGTGTAAATCAAGAAGATCTATAAAAACTTGAAAATCTTGAAAATTGATGATCCAAAAATGCATTATTATTTCCAAAACTCAAAATCCACTTTTTTTTCATGTCCACGAATCTTGCATCTTGATATCCAGATGATCAATTTGAGGATATTTGAGCATCAAAACAACTTTTTCCAGTGAAATTAAGCTCTAATTTGATTGTTTAGAGCCTCGGCTCTGTATAATCTTCTTCCATAAAAATATTCACATGCAGGTATATAGAGGCTAATACAATGACAAATAGCTATATATAAAACATTATACATAAGTTAAAAATGTGTGTGCGCCAACCTATGTACAGGGACTGAGTCGTTTACTGTAGCTGAGGAAAACAAATAATTATTCTACTACAACAGAAAAAACTATACATCTCTCTCTCTCTCTCTGTACGTCTAAATAGCTATACACTCTCTCTCTCTCTCTCTCTCTCTCTCTCTCTACATACATATACCAACAGGATATGCTCTCTCACTCTCTCTCTCTCTCTCTGTACATATACCAACAGGATATGCTCTCTCTCTCTCTGTACATATACCAACAGGATATGCTCTCTCTCTGTGTACATATACCAACAGGATATGCTCTCCCTCTCTCTCCCTGTACATACATACATATACCAACAGTATATGCTCTCTCTCTAGACATACATACATATACCAACAGGATATGCTCTCTCTCTGTGTACATACATACATATACCAACAGGATATGCTCTCTCTATCTCTCTCTCTCTCTCACACACACCCCCACATTCATTTACTGAGAAAGTATACCATAAGACCAATTACTTATTTACTTGTGGTATAAGAAGTTCACAATCCCCTAACTGTCAGATGTGAAACTTGGTAGCAGGAGCTGTACTATTGACAGCACTAAGTCCCGGAAGATTTTTTTTCAAACTTTGTGGAGAAATGACACATCTAGCCCCGATTTCACATCTGACAGCTAAAGTTATTAGGTGGTATTACCAGAGCTAAACAACCTTATACTATACAATCTGTTATTTATTTGTGTACATGTAATCTATGTAGTCTCAGTGGGCAATTTATGAACATACTCCTATGGTGTGAAAGTTTGTTAATATCCTCCAAGATTTCTTTAATCCTACTTATCCCCTTCCTCTCCTGCAACAATTTATGAACATACTCGTATGGCGTGAAAGTTTGTTAATACCCTCTAAGATTTCTTTAATCCTTCTTATCCCCTTCCTCTCTTGCAAATCATTCTTGGAAGGAGGTGATAAAGTTCTTTGTGATGGAAATTATGAGAAACTCTAATGCATGTCTTGATACAAACCTGAGATTGATCAACAAGTACACATTAATGAGGATAGAGCAAACTGGAAGAAGCGGGACGAATGGGCACATGAAACCTGTAAACATAGGAATTTCTGGTTAAATTCTTAAGCTAAATAAATCTCTCTTCATTTCTAATTTGTATTTATAAATTAGATTAAAAGAAGGGTGTGGTTTGTATAGAGCCAAGGCTCTAAACAATCAACGTAAAGCGCACCCTCAAATAGCGTGGAGAAATGTTGTTTCAATATTAGAAATCTTTGTGATAGCCTTGAAATATATTTTTACTTTTAATTATAAAATTTAAAGCTTCAACAATAGTGCAAATCGAGCAGATCTACGAAATCTTGAAAATTGACGGTCCAAAAATGCATTATAAGATGCACTATTTCCAAAACTTGAAATCCATTTTTTTCTCACGTCCATGCATCTACATGTCGAGATGATCAATTTCAGGATATTTGGACATCTAAAAAATCTCTTCTAGTGAAATTTGTGAGGTGGGCTCTAATTTTGATTGTTTAGAGCCTCAGTTCTATATAAATTTTTTCATTAAAAAGAAATAAACTGAAAATGTGAGAAGTTTGGGGAAAGAAACTACCTCCTGAGTGGCCGAAGCTGTGCCGTCCATCATCTTGGTCAATCCACAAGAGTACAGTCAAGCCACCCAACAAAAGCATTGCTCCAACCCCACCCACGGATATCCTGATGAGGCTAATTTGCAAACCAACAGAAAATTGTTAGAAGGAAAGCAGTAGAGAGGAAAGAGAACATGGAATGTTTCACATCATTTGTTGGTGCATAAGCTCATCTCATGGCAGCTCACTAGGTATGGCAAGCTTAAAATATGGAAATCACTTAGAATCCTCATAAAAAATGCAATATAAGCTGTATATTCCAAAAGTCAAGTGATAGCAAACCTTATCTTTCCATCCCAATCAATAACTCAAAATGCCCCAGCTCCAGATCTTGATATTTAACACCAATTCACTATAACCACAGAGCTCCAGAAAAACTGCCTAAACCTCAATTTCAAACTCTTTTAACTCCAAAAAATAAGCCATAACTGAGACTAGCACCTACTCTCGGTTACGAATAGCACCTTTAACCGACCCCTAATAATTGGGATAAGGCTCAAATGATGATGATGAACTAAGACTAGCACCTTTGTTTCAGAACCAAGAAAATGGTAAGATTCTTGACAAACCCAAAGCCACAAACAAATTTTGATAGTAAGATAAACAAAAAAAGAAAAATGCTTTGAGCATCTGAACTAAGAGCTCACTCAGGCAAGAACTCAGCAGAAGCTGTAGAAGCAGCCAGTAGAACTCCAATGCAAACAGATGCTATGCTGCCTGCAGCAAGTTTTCTCCTTCTTTTGTCATTCACTTTGTCTGCAAGAACGAAACACGTATAGTTTTATAAGACCTCCAAACCGATTATGCATATAAAGGCCGCGTTTTGAAATCCATGAAGTACATTATTACAAAATGAGTGGGGGTAGCTTGGTTTATTTCTCAAACCTTTGCCACTCAAATCTTTTCTAAACCAACACAGCCTTTGTATTTCTTTTCAAAGCCAATGGAACACTGGCAGATAACCCAAATAGTAAACATTAAATAGTAACTACACAAAGGAAGTCAAACACAAGCGACAGAGGAAGTATCCAATTTTTGTGAGATATATGATACGTGTGCGGCACATATATATGTAGAAAGAACAAATTGGCATGTGAAAATGGATAAGCATAGAATTTTCAAGAGGACCAGGATTAGTAATTAATGCAGTAAATAAAAAGGGTTAGTAGTCAACAATGGGCTCTAGAGAATAATAAAGAAAAGAACAATTCAATAAAATATAGTTAACTACTATGATTGATTGATTGATTGGGAGACGTAGCAGTAATATTTACAATTACCTTCATCTTTTTCTTTCATAATAAGAGGATAGCCAAGTGACGCTTGGGCATCACCAGGATGCAGGTGACAGTCTTCTAAAGCTTTATGCTCAACAGAATCAACAGCACAACAGGTGCAAAGTGGGGGATCTTCAGGATTATTTCCATCAATTTCCTTCTTATTATATCGAAATGCAACTGAGTCTATTGAGTCCTGAAGTGACAGTGGAAGCGGTACCTCATCCGGTGGGACATACCTAAGAATTAGGATGGAAATCGCAACTACAGTGAATGCAAGAAGCGTTCCCACGCTGACCTGCATTAACCAAATTAGATCAGAAGGGTTATACCAGATCCCAGATTGAAGTACCCGAAAAAAGAAGAAAAGGACAGCGCTCTCTTTTCAGAAGAGAGCTATGAAATGCCACAGGTTCTGATATATTAAAAAGCCACAGGTTCTAGAAAACATGCAGAAACACTGAAGATCTCCCGATGACAAAAACCAGCCAGTGGTTTATGCAACTTACAACAATCCCCTGACAATCCTGAAATGGTGACCTTTCCTCCCCATGCTTGACTGTCCTAAAACTTTCTTCAAAAGACAAGGATGCCTTTCACTCTTCACTACCTTTCCACATTACTAGAATTTTAGAGGGGTCCACAACTAATTTGACCTACCAGAGGGAATTGGCCAATATTTCCCTTTGCAACTTGCCGTTTTTTGCTAGTAAGCTGGAAACTAAAAGTACATCAGTATCATTGCTGTCCCTACATTGGACGAACATCTGCTGCATATATATCATGCAGTTACATTTTAACTTCATGTTCGCTCAGGTAATCATATTAGGAGTTTTTTCTTCCCTTGCTAATTCACATTCATACCTTAGAGCCCTTAAGAAGTAATTTGAATCACCAAAATGAATCTCAGCATACATTACCTCTCATTTTCTAAATTAGCATTGCTAATTAAAAGAAAATGAGGAAGGAAATAGTAACCTACCATTCCTGCCAACTGGGAGACATCCATACACATGGCCAAGGCAGCAGCAAGGACCCCTGTAACTATGGTGCCCTTGACAGGAACTTGTGTGTGCTTGTTAACATCTGAGAACATTGGAGGTAGTAATCCATCTCTTGCCATTGCCATCAGTATACGAGGCTGGAAAAAAAAGCATAATATACATGCATCAAGTTAGATGCAAAACTGGATAAGAGCTATTTTATATATTTCAGCTGTTTCGAAAGTTCCGTTCCAACATCTAGCTCTCACTGTTGGATGATTTCAGCAGAAAGCCATAAGGTCCACAACCGAAATTCAAATTTTGCACCAATTTTTGTCTAGTTGAATTTTTTCCTCGCAAGGATATTTTTATCTATGACAGCTGAATCAGACAATTCTAGAAATCAACCAAATTTTGGATTCAGATTTCAAAAGCATACAAAATTGACTTCGTCAAAAACGTTTTCTTCCAAAAACACTCATTCGAAAAAATTATCTTGCTTAAACTCATAAATATATATACTACATTATTAAACCAAAGTTAAGAGGTAGCTAAATGTCACAAGAATAAGAAAGGTCCCTATTTATAGAGAGATTATAGGGTAGGTACCGATACGTTCCTTTATAATGAAATCCTAAACTATGTGGTTTGAAAAGCTACGCGCTTTATTATTCTATGTAACCATTTGAAAAGGTGTGTGGTTTATTGATCTCTCCCTCGAAGTGCAGCCTTTTATCTTAAGATGCCATCTTCATATATGTGTCTCCTCAGAATCGTTGTTGACACAC